GGGTGTTGAGGGGGAGGACTGAATGAGGGAAGTGGGAAGGTAGGTCAGGGGAGAGTAAGGCGGGGGGGGGGGAAGAATGGGAACAACTACAACTGAACAATAGAAAAATAAATAAAAATAAAATTGAAACTAGTAGAGCATATTGAAAATATATACCTACCATTATGAAAGCTGACACTGTTTTCCAAAGTAATTGTAGTATTTTACATTGCCAGCAGAGTATAAATAAACATTCCATTGTTCCACATCCTCATTGTCAGTTAGTTTAGTCATTTTCTTAAATTTTGGCCATAATACAGGGTGTTAATGTGACCTCATTGTTACTATAATTTTCATTTCCCCAGTGACTAATGAAACCAATAATCTTTCCTGAGTCTATGGACAATTCACATATCTTCTTTTTGAAAACATATATTCAAACCTTTAGTCATTGTTAACTTTATCTTACCACTGCAGGATTTTAAAAATATTTTTTCAAGTCCATTATCAGTTTTCAATATTATAAATTATTACAAATATTCTTTTCCAGCTGTGCTATGCTTTTTGTTTTCTTAATACATTTTTAAAAGCAGAAGTTTTCTATTTCATTGAACTGCAATTAATTGCTCTTATGTCCCATCTAAGAAACCTTTGCCTGTCCCAAAATTGCAAACATCTTCTCTCGGGTTTTATTCCACAATTTACTAGTTTTACTCTTTACAAAGAGGTGTATGGCCAATTTTGAGTTAATTTCGGATATCCAGTTGTTCCAGTGACATTTGTTTAAAAAACTATATACTTTACCCCACTGAATTATGTCAGCACCTTTGGGAAAATCAATTGACCATGTATGTATATATCTACTCATGAACTCTCTACTTGGTACCATTGATTTTATGATCCTTACACTGACAAGATCATCATCATTTTAATCTTGAAATCATAGAATAAGTTCTCCAGCTTTTTTCTTTTTCAAACTTATTTTGCCCATTCTAGCTATTCTATATTTCTATATAAATTTTTACCAGCTTATGAATTTCTACCCAAAATTCTGCTGACATTCATTGGGATTACACATTCAATACACAGATCCATTCAAAGAAGAACTGGCATCTCAGGAAAACAAAAATGTATCTATCTTCATCTATTTAGGTTTTATACATTTTCTGTCAGTTGTACACTGGTCTAACACATATTTTGTTAAATTTATCTCTAAGTATTTCATATTTTGGTACGTTATATTATTGTCCATAACACAGTAAAATGCTTTAAAACTATAAACAATTATATCAGAGTTTCCAGACGAACAGGTTTCAACATATGCTTAGCCAGTGGTTCTGAGAAGGTCTCTCATGTGTTTGTATTCGAGCTGTTGACCAAGGCTGCCATCATCTCAACACTGGAATAGAACTGAAGGATCCACTTCTAAGGTCACTCCTGTAGTTGGTAGCAGGCCTCAGTACTTGCCAACTGGAGGCTTCAGTGAGATTTTTAATAGGGCTACTCATAAATGGAAGTTTGCTTCTCTTAGAGACAGTGAAGAAAGAGGGAGCTAGAAAGACATAAATTACCTAAGACAGAAACTGCAATCTTCTTTCTATAATTTAATTTTAGAAGTGACATACTATCTCTTTTTCCATGTCCTATAGCTCACACAGACCAACACTAATAAAAGACGGGAGAAGATTACATGAGGTTGTGAATACCAGAAAATGGAGATAACTCAAACATATCTAGAAGGCTGGCTTCCACAGATGTACAAACAGAATTTACAAATTTCATTTTCCAAGTATTCACATGGCTAGTGTGTTATCATTTAATTTCATATATTTACCTAGTATCCTATGAGATTGTTAAATTCTCTTTTCAGAACAAAAAGCATTTTTTAAACTCACTAGCACTTTCTATATAGATGATCATACTGTCTACAACTTCTTCATTCTATGTACCTTTTATTTCTTTTTGTTGCTTTATTGCACTATTTATATGACTTTTAGTACAATGTTTAATTGAGTGGCAAAAGCAAATTTCTTTGCTTTGTTGTCAGTGTCAGGGAAGAACTACTCAATTTTTCACCATTAAGTAAGATGTCTGCTGTAGGATTTTCATGTGTAGTCTTCGTAAAGTTGAAAAATTTGCCTTCTATTACTAGGCTGCTAAAAGTTTTAAAATCAGAATGGGTAGAGAATTATGATAAACTCTTTTATCCATCTACTGAGATAATCATGCATTTTATAAAATGATTAATATGGCAAGTTATGTTGATAGATTTTTCTATTATCAAACCAACCTTTCATTCCTAGAACAAATTCTGCTTAGTTTTCATTGCATTTTCCTTTAATATATTTCCGAATTCAGTATGTTCTTATTCAGGATTTTTACCTGTATCATTGTAAGGTATGTTGGGCTGTAGTTCAGTTCCCATGTTTGTGTCTGATTTTGGTATTTGAGTAATAACGCTGGCCTATTGATATGATTTGTAAAATGTTCCTTACTTCTCTATTTTCTGAAAGACTTGAGAACTGGTTATTACTCCTTTCTTAAATGTTTCTTAAATAAAATTTATTATTGAAGCTATCTGGGTCTGAACTCTTTTCTGTTTCTATGTGAAGACTTTACTTATGAATCCAATATTGTTAATAGATATGGACTAATCAGATTTTCTATTTTGCCTTGGGTCTATTTAGATGACTTACTATCTGATACTGCATGAATTTGTTCATTTCATCTACTTGAATTTATCGTCATAAATGTTTATAATTTCTCCTCAAACTTTTTGGCAGCTCTCTCAGTTCCAGGAATTTCCTCCTAAGTTCCAAGCTGCTTGCTAGTCCTCAAGTTTGTCCTTTGACACTTTAAGACAGCATGATTATGGTTTCTGACCCTGAAGCTATGGGAGCTGGGAAGCACTTTGTGCAAAATGCCATACACTCACAGTTCTTACCCACCACTATGCTTAAAGAATGACTCTCAGCCCTGGCTGGTGTAGCTCAGTGGACTGAGCACGGGCCTGTGAGGCAAATGGTCACCAATTCAATTCCCAGTCAGGGCACATGCCTGGATTGCAGACCAGGTCCCCAGTAGGGGACAAATGAGAAGCAACACATTGATGTTTCTCTCCCACTCTTTTTCCTTCCCTTCCCCTCTCTCTAAAAATAAATAAATAAAATGTTTTTTTAAAAAGTGACTCTCCTCTGGTTTCTTCTTCTTTTTGGTATTCTTTGGTTTTCTAGTCTTTTGGGTCTTTTTCCAGTGCTTTCAAAAAGTTACTTTTACATTTTTTCCAGGTGTTACCATTTTTACCTAAGGATTCACCTCACTGATTTACCATTAGCTAAAGCTGGAAACTGGTAGTCCTGATTTTTTAAAAAATATCCCAAACTTAAATTTATAATTTTATTTATTATAAATTTTTAATTATTGGTAGTAATATACAAGAAAATGAAATAAACTATCAAGAATGAAAAAGCTGCAACTTCCAGAAATATAGAAATAAATTTGCATGTGAACATAGATAAATGTACAATTTCCTCATGCAGCCTATTCTAAACTTAGCACCTTCCTATTCTGGACCCATATACACTAAACTGGAATACAGTCAAGCCTAGGTTTTCAGGCTAAGAGACATGAAAATCAACAAAGCAAACAAATTGCTTGCAATTACATATTAAAACTTAAAAACAATTGATTTAAGCTCCCCCAAAAGATCTACAGACTGTCTTAAACAATGTTCCGTGGACTAAAATATTTTAAAAAGGAAGATAAATAAATGGAATTAGGATTTGTATACCTTTTAGAAATAAAAGCAGTAAAAAGAGTGACATTTAAAGATGGCTTTCTAAAAATGAAATACTTACCTTTATTCTTTCTAAAGTGAGAAAATATATTAAATAATATTTTTCAAAATGCATTACATATTTTCTTATACCAAAACTGAAAAACTAAGAACTAAAAAATAAAAATAAAAAACAAAAAATACACCCATAACATTTGCTTTTAGGAATTCTACTCATTGGTAACTGAATACTAAAATTTCATGAAATTTCAATCACAGAATCTTGAAATTAGCAAAGAATGTGTAGTGAATTGTAAAAAGCTCAGAACAGAATATGTAAGTAATTTAGGTCCATCATATGCAAATTTTTGCATTAAGCTTTAAGTATTTTGTAGTATCCTGTTATTTTCACTATATCAATAGCCAAATAACTATAATCCCACAATAAGCAAGAAAAAAAAAGAACACACCCATTTTCATGCAGAATGAGTATAACAAATAGAAAAAGAGGAAATGGAGACCAAGAGCATCTTTTTACACCTATTTTATTTAAAAAAACAAAAACACCCACTATGATTCTGGTTTTCTTCCTTAAGCCAAAACATTGCCATAGCTTTGCTCTAAACCAGACATAGTTAAGTCTGATAGGAGGTCTGCAATCAAACTGATTTACCTATTATACATAAAAGCAACACTGTTGATGCTGAAATTGAAGCATAAGCAAGCACAAATATCAGCTGGAATCAGAAAGTTGCAGAGGAAACCTTAGGCAGTGTTGTTGCATACATTGATCATCTTGATTATGATGATGATTTTACAGGTGCATATATATGTAAAAACTTGGCAGACTCTATGGTTTTACGTGCAGTTGATTTTACCTCAATAAAATTTTGATAAAGCTTTAAAACAAAAGTCAGCAAGAAAAAAATCACTATTCATTTTTATCCATTACTCAGCTACTTTAACACCAAAAATGAAAACCAATTCAGAGTCTGTAACCAAGTGTGATTAACATCTCAAGGATAAAAGGCACATAGCCATTCAAATTAAAAGAACAGGGATATCAACTTTTTTAAGAGAAAAAGAATGAAGTTTCAATGAAAATACCCTGAGACCAATGTGTCAAAGGATTCTGGAGGTCACATTGCCTCCATAATTTATGTCCCGCCCTGGTGTAGAAAGCTCTTGGTTTCCATTTCCAAATGGTATGTGATGACACAGAGTTTATCAGGATTTGCAGCCTTACTGTACTTCTCTTCCTTGCACCTCTGCAGAATCTCTAAGCTCCTCTGGTGGACTGGATGTTGGAGAAAGCTAAAACTATCCATACTTTTCAAAATCGCACATGGCGCTGTATCATCATGTCCTTAGGAAGCAAAACAAAAAATGGAGAAAAGAAAAAGACATTATAAGCCCAAACCAACAGAGAATCAAGGACAATGCTGCCAACTATCTTAAAGAGTATATAAAAATATATCAAATGTTATACTGTTAAGGGTTAAAGGTGAATGATTTTTCCAATTTGAGGAAATTACACAATAACAGAAAAAGCTAAAGGTCCTTTTTAGGTATTCAAAATATGCTTTTCAGTACTCAAAGTGTTATGAGTTAACACTATACTAAAAATTTCTAATTTAAAATACTAGGGAAGTTTCAAAAACAATTGGTATAATTCAGTTTTTTTAATTGACTCATTTTTATCAGGTCTGAAATATAATTAGCATATAGTTGGCAACAATGAGAGAAACACTGATGAATCCCAAAGAGGAATTTACCCAAAACAATTTACCAAAAGTTGAACAATGCTATCACAAATCTTGCAATGAACAACACTTGTAGGAATTTCAACAAGTGTGTCAATGTTGAAAGAGTGAGAAGAAAGCACCATAGAGCAGGAAAGCCCAGCAGCACTTCTGTATTTATAAATCAAAAAACAAGCAGAAAAATCTGTGCCTCACCAGAGACAGATCAACTATTGGTGGGAAAGAAGAGCACTTCCAAGTGCCAAAGCTCCTTATTAGTGCTACTAAAAGAGTGAATCACTCAAGGAATAACGTAGAGGGAAGCAGGGGAAGGATTTTAGTACCATAAATATCAGCAATAAATGGACTTAAAAGAGAATATAGGTTTTCTAGATTTGGGGGGACTTAAGTATCATTTACTCAAAGAACATCTCTAGACTTAGGACATTAAGTTCTAATTTATGTACATTTGCCTTTAAAATACAAAAGTGAATACTTAACGGAGAGAGGCAAATTAATGAACTTAAGTTCCAGTGGTGCATATTTACTGTATAATTACAAATTAAATACTATCAATGAACAGTTCTCAAGGAAGAACCTTTTAAGAAGTTAAACAGAGGCACAGAATTCAAAGAGGTCTGCAAAACATAGTTTAGTCTAACTATAATTCCTTAAACTGTATTTCTATATCCAGAAAACACACAATCAGCTAAGGAGATGGAGTTTTATGACACCATAATATCAGATAATAATACACATATAAATACCAAACTTTTAAAAATGATTTTGAAAAAACTTTCATATCCAATAATAAAAAAACGTAAGCCATTAAGGCACAATCTCATTTACCCAATTTGGAGAGGCCATAGTTGCAAATGTTCAATGTTTCTAAAAGACATAACTATTACCAACTTATACTGCAGTAAAAATATTGTTCTCGTTATTATCAATAATCCCTCCCTTGGTAGGCTGCTTGCATTAAGAATGCCTACAATCAGACTAGTCTGCACTTGGTTAGTTAGGAGAGAGGGGAGATACCAAGTGAGGGGATAAGCTGAGAACAAAAATACTTGGTGAGTTCTACTCATACTCCATCCAAACTGTAATTTTAAAAAGTTATCACCAGACTCTCAGGCCCTTCAAAAGTTACTTGATAATCTGATAGTTAGAAGTATGGTTATGGTATTAAAGTGTTTTATATAAAAGTTCAGGATATTAGATATACTATCATCTAGTTTTAAGAAATCACTCAACATTACCATAGCCACTGTACTCTATTTTATCCAGTAAGTTGTGGAAGTGCTATTTGGATATGGGTAAATTTCTTATCCATGACTGTTTTGGTCTCACTATCATGCCTTGTTTAACTTCCATTCTGTTCTCTCATCCTGCTTTCTATCCCTGCTTCTAACTCTTTAACTATTTTAAATCCTTATTTTACAGGCTATAATAACTACCTCCAAACCTTAAAGTGATATCCTTTTATTTGCTGTGTGTACCAACTCCCCACCTAAGTAGTTTGGTTTTCTTGGATAGTTTGTAAGTACATTTTTGGTAGGGGTTTTCTAAAGAAATCTCAGAAATTCATAAAACAGGATTATTCAGTATTTGCTTATGCTAGTTCCTGGTCTAGTTTTAATCATTTTTCTTTTCTTTTTTTTTACTGATGAAATAATCTTGTGTACCCTCTTCAGCAATGTTAGGCAACTGACCCTTTTGCTGACCCAAGTCTGGAAAAAGACAACCAATCACTGAAACTACTGGGTTCAGTTCATTTGACATGTGGTTGGTTATGCATTTCTAGTGTGTAAGTCAATAGAGCAATCATGACTCAGAGGTGAAGCAAAGCCATATATATAATTACAAAAATTCGTGCTATAGAGAATCTTGAGAGAAAAATTCCCAGACACTAAATTGGTCAATTGCACTAGAACTTCACAGACTTTTCTAAACATTCTTGCCAGATTAGTTTCTGTGTCATTAAAAGAAACAGGAACATTTTACAGATGTGTGCCTTTGCCATTGTCAATTCCAGACATATTAACAGAAGACCCATTACTACCATTTCCAGTGGCAGATTTCATCTGCTGCTCAATGTGCTCCAGCTGGAAAACTAGAGTCTGTTAGTATGTTGAGACTCTCCAGCATGATGTGCTTCTGGATGAGAGTCTCAGTCAGTGGATGGAGTCAACTTTCTAATGTTGACAGCTATTGCCTAAGACAGTGATTTTCCAACCTTTTTTTTTATCTCATGGCACACCATAAACTAATTACTAAAATTCTGTGGCACACCAAAATATATATATATTGCCAATCTGGGAAAAAAGGTATAATTGTTATTCATTCACACCAGATGATTATTGTTTACTGTTGGGTTTTTTGTTGTTGTTGTTGTTGTTGTTTGACAATCTAAGGGAAAAGAGGTCAGTGCCCCTGACTAATTAGTCAAGTACTACATGTTTTAAAAATTCTTGTGTGACACCAGTTGAAAACCACTGGCTTAAGGTTTTATTGGTAAGCCAATGCCTCATTTTTAAAATTTCTTCTTCTCCTCTATCTTTAATTCTGTTTTGCAATGTGTTGTTTGACATAAATCTTCTATTCTGCCTTTAGCTTCTTAGATGTTTTATGTCCAGGTATTTGGTCTTGCAGATCTTGTTAAGAGTTGTCTCGTTATTCTCCTTCATTAACCTGCTGAGCCACCATATCCTGTAATTCAGATCTCAGCTGATGTATCTGACCCATCAGCTTCTGTATTTCTTCCCTTTGCACCTCTTTTTCACGCAGTTTTTTTTAGCTCCACGCTATTTAGCAATATTGCTCTCTAGGCCTTCAAAACCAGATCCTTCTTTTAAGCTGTTAATCAGTTTCTCTTTAGATTGAAGTGTTCTAGTAGCTTTATACTTCTAATCAATGAATTACTGTTTAAAGGAATCCAAGCTGAACTTATACATTTTGATGTGCTGCTGTAGCTCATCGACTTTCTCCTCATCTGAGAATTTTCTGCCAGAGTAACTGCTTCTGCCAAATTCTGATCTTTCACTTCTATTTTATTCAGGCACGCAGCACACTGATTCTGCATTTGTTTATAGCTCTCCTGGCTCTGAGTGGCATCCACTTCATGCAGTCTCTTGCGATTTTTCACTCCGTAAGGCTTCTAATGTGTCTGTGTGCAAATTCAGTAGCTGGTCAGCTTCTTAAGAGTCTCACTTTCAGGACAGCTAGCTGGGAATCCATTCCAGCCACCACATCAGTCGGTCATCTATTTGGGCTTAAAATACCTCAGTTCTCCACTCTTCGAATGGTCAACATTCCACTTCTCAACTCATGCTGTTAGTTTAATTCTTCTTGAGTTTCCTTGGCTCTCTGACATAATGAGGTCATTTCTTGTTCAAGACCAAACTTCATTCCTCAGTAGCTAATTCACCAGTTGGAGAGTTCATATAATTTGCCATCATCAGCACAACAATGGGAAATTTTAACAGTGGGGATTTCTAACCCACCTCAACATTCTTTTGACATTGTTTCTGTAAATGCTGATTCTGACTACATGTGATGTATACATAAACAGCATGCTTGTATAAGAATCCTAGGAACTAATTTCAAAAGATACCAACTCCAACCTTCAGGCATCCAAGCTCTGTAAAGTTTGCTGACCTTCGTCTGTGATGACTTGAAGCCAGGATGACACATACCACACCATCACTTACCTTATTGGAATGGACTGTTGCTTGTCTGTGCACTTACAGAACTTTTCAACTCTCTCCCTTGATCTCTTTGTTCTGCTTCCCCTCTTCCTCCTTATAAAAACCTCTGCCTGCACTGTGATGTTAAGATGGGCTTTGAGACATGAGTCCCCCATCTTCCAGATGGCCGGCATCTGAATAAACCACTTTCCTTTACATCAGCACCTGTCTTTTGAGTATTGGCTTTTGAAGTGGCACACAGCTGGACCTGCATTCAGGTAGATCCACTAGGTATTGAGTTTATGTTAAGTGCAGGAAGCATTTGATGATACAGTTTTCTTTAAAGAACTCTCTTGTACTTCATGACCAGGATCTGAATTATTAGAGGTTTCATGGCTTTTCTTAGGTGGTTTTAATGGTGATTTTGCTGGTGTTTGTAACACTGATATTTGTCCAGGAACATGAAGGACAGGTGTCTTGCCCCCCATCCCATTTTTTTCCACTCTCTGGTAGGCTCCTTCTGTGAACTTAAGAAAATCAAACAGCAGATCATCACCAGGTTCTTTTTTCTTTTTAAAATATTTTATTGTTTATACTATTACAGTTGTCCCAATTTTTCCCCCTTTGCTGCCCTTTTTCTTTTTTTTAAATTTCCAACCAAACTGGGATGAAAGCCTAGGAACAGATGTGTTGCAACATGATGGGAGGCTTCCACTGATGTCCCAGGCCCTGCTTTCACATTTGTGGTGCCAGCTAAGATGGTAGATTTTTTATTTCTAATGTTATCAGCTGCTCAGGAAATGTAATTAGCTCTAAATCCAGTCTAGTAAAGTCAAGTCTGTATTTTGCTGGTGAAGTTCAGGATAGTCAGTATTTTTGCTACACATGATGCTGCTGGTGGTCTCTTTTCTACTGAAAGCTATTGCAGCCCCTTAATG